GTAATTTTATAGTTTCTAGAATCTTAATAAAGTACTAGCGTAACTGCCTAAGGTTAAAAAAAAAAAAAAAAAAAAAAAAAAAAATTTAACATATGTTTTTTATATGTAAGGTTCTCTCTTATAGTTGAGTTCTAACTTTTCTTTTTTGTTTATTTCTGTTTATGTTTTTTAATCAGTTTTCTATATATTAAATTTGATTACTACTGTTTTTTTTTGTATTTCTTTTTTTTAGTATTTCTTATTTCTTTTTTTTTATTTTTGATTCTTTTTGTTTTTTGTTTTTGATTGTTTCTGTCTTTTGTTTTTTAATTCTTCTCTTCATTATGATTTTTTCCTTTAAGAATTCTTCTAACTTACTTGATAATTATTATATTATATTGATGCAGTTTAAGTTGTTTTTGTTTCTTAAATAAATCATAACTTTTATTTCTAATTCTAAGTTTTTAATTACTTTTATTTCTTTCTATTCTACTCCTAATATAGCATTTGTTACTAGTTTGCATAAAAGTCTTACTGATATATTAGTTTGTCTACTCTAAACAGCACTTTATCTTTTTACTAATTTTATAACTTTTTTATTTTATTATTTTTATATTATAAACTATTAAATTTTCAAATTATTTTTATATCTAAATATTGTACAATATATATTTAAATTAGTATATATATATATATAAAGCAAGTTAGACCTCACCTTAACATTAAAAAAAAAAATAATAATAAAGAACAAGTTAAAAAAACTTTGAACATTAAATATATATATATATATATAAAATATACAATATTAATTTTTGTTTTAAAAAAACAGGTATTTTATAATTTGGGTTAAAAATATTTAAAATAAAAGACTAATTACCCGAATCATATTTAATAACAAATAGAACTGCTTAAATGTTTGTAATAACCAGTATTTTTATCCTAAATATAATAATTTGATTTTCTATTTTTACAAAATTTAAGTAAATCTCTCGATCACTATCAAGATCGTTGCTATATACTTATATGCTAATATATTTATTTGTTAACATATATGTATTATAAAAAACTATGGGGCGTCGTCATGATGAATTTTATTATTATAAGTCATTTTTTAAGTAAATGGCTTAATTTAATTAAACATCACTATTGTAAGTAAAATATGGTATGACTATCATATTATTCTGCATTTTGATCGATGATACTCATTTAAATTTAAAATTATTATATTCATATAACAAAGTTCTATTGTACAAATTATTACGTACTTAGTACGTGGCATCATAATTAATTTAAAAAATACCATAATACACGAATGTATTTGTTTTATAAGATGCGTTCTTTATCTATATGTAGAAGCATCACACTATAATAAGGGAGTACCTTGAGAAGTTGAACAGAATTATACAATCATCAAATTTTGAAACATTGCAAAATCTATAAATGATTGTGAAAATCTATTCGATGTTTGATACTATAAATAACATTAAAAATTATTAAAGAATTATTTATTTGTATGTACCGAGAAATTTCTTATTCATTTTTCAACGGAATCTTTACAACACTCCAGTCTCTTACTTTTTCAAATACCCAGAAATTTAAACTACCTAATGGAACAATAATCCACATCCTAGCAGACATTCCAACAAACAAACCCCTCACACCTTCAGTCTTTACAATACTTGCGGCCATGTTCCACCATTTTAACTCCTTTTGTCCTGCCTCACGCGCAATCTGTATTTTTGTTTTTACAACATCGAAAGGAGCAGAAGTGAAAGTTGCAGTAGCCCCAGCCAAGACACCAGCTGACACAGAAAGAAATAAATAAGAGGAGGGTAAAAAAGGAAGGCGGTGTCGATTTTGTTGTAATGTTTCTAAAGTATAAGTATAAGTGAAAAAATAGGCGGGAAAAAAAGAGACAGTGTTGAGTAGACCAGCAGCCCAACCACGGTAAAGAAAACGGTGTAGGGGAACATCTTTAGGTTTTAGACGTGTGATAAAATTGGTTCTTAATGAGACCGGATGTAAATATGATTCATTGATATTACGTGTTAAAGATGAATTATGAGATGTAACAATATGAGTTGGTTGATTAGAAGTTGTTGCAGTAGAGATCGCTCTTTTAAGGGATGGAGAAGAGTTATTGATTTGGGTAAGATTATTATGTGAAAGAATGGCGGATCTTGAAACTTGAAGTTGTTGAGAAATTACATCAAAAGGGATCATAAAACTTGAAGTTATCACAGCACTCAAAGTTCCCAATAAAGCATTAATAGTTGTATGACTACGATTTTCTAGCCAACCTAATCCAATAGAGCCACCTTTTCCTTTGTGTACCATGTCTCTTAATGCATCATAGGTGGAAAAATGAACCAAACGTCCACAAATACTGCCTAATCCATAAACCCCTACACCTTTAAAAAAACCGCGAACGCCTTCAGTTTTAATTCTTTCAGCGAAAACTTGACCAATAGATGTAGTAGAAGACGTCCCGATATTAGCTTGTTGAATTGTCTTAACAGTTCTTATAGGGTAAAAGACATAGACTGGGATAAGATTTATGAAAAAGCCATATAAATAATAACGTTTAAAATCTATGGCTTGATCTTGTTCTAGACGGAAATTCATCTCGGTAGTATTAGAGTAGAAGTGTTGAAATCCCTTTCACTCCCAAGCCGTGGGGGAGAAACAAAACTCTCCCGGGATATAAAGCAGGCCTACCGAATTATTGATTGTGAGGGCAATTAATTGTAATTTTTTGAACTCAATTAATTAATTGGTGGCGCAGTCACAATGAGTCGATTAATTGCAATTTTTGGTGTGATGAATTATTTGCGTGACAAATAAGAGATCACTAATACGATTAATTAGTAAATCTTTATTTGCCACATAAAATGATTCATCGCAACCATGTGGCAAATGGCAATTGATTGACGTATAGCAAAATTTTTTAATTTTAATATAAAAAAGGCTTTCTTGTAGAAAGTCAAGAAGCCGAATATTTTGTGCCACGAGATGTATATTGCGTCATGAGTACCGCAAATCACCGTATACAAGACTTACATTCCACTAATTTCAAAACCTATAGTACACAACTGAGAGTTTATACGTATCATTAAGAGAAAGACTTTGAAGAGCATTCACATTTTTCACATTTATAATAGAACAGTCTAGATATTTAAAAAAAATTCCGTGGTTCGCACTCGGTATACTAAATGGTGGGTCTACTATCGTAGGGTTCTTGTATTACTGATGTGGTGATGTCAAAAATACTTTGACCTGGAATATCAGATATTTGGGACAAACCACCGTTTGAAATTTGCTTTCAAGTAGAACTTCCAAAGAATAATATCACATGTTATCTGCCGACATATAGTCAGAGTAACGTGACTATAGATATCCTTTGTTTTATTGGTTCCGGGCAAAGAATTTTAATGAGTAAGACATCATGTGATTTGTATGCTAAATCCTTGTTCGTTCGCTATTGAGTTGTTAATATATAGGTTGATTGGTTTGAGATTAATTTCAATCCAAAAATCCAAATTAGCTCTGAGTACGGTTTAGCAAACTGGTTCGAAAATTCTATTTAATATATTTTGTAACCACACCAGAGTGTACTTGCTGGCAAAACCTGAACAAATCCCAAACAGTTGCTATTTATAAAAAATTAAAAAAAAAGGTCTTGATACGTATGTTGTAAATACAATATATTTTATGTACAGTATTTTATTTGTTTAGATAAATATTATTGAAGATATTAGTTTAGTCAGAATTTGGGAATTAGGAGGCAAGCATACAATACTCCAATTAATAACCCAAGTTACTATTATTTACAGTAGACCTGAAATAATTTCACTAAAACATATAGATTCCGACCTCTAATTAAAATCTGTAAAGGATGTCAAATTCCGAACTTTCTGAATATTCCAAAAGATTTGTATGAGACCACTTTCCCTGCAATATTTTTTGATCTTTGTCGATTCGTATCAGATCGAAAGGATCGGAAATCACATGAATATACACGTTTTGTTATAAACTCGGTGTACTCATCACGCGAGAGTGACGGAAGACGTTGCTTCACCATATTTTATGTATTGGGTATGATGTACAGTGCATGTAACATAAGCTACATGCATTTTATTGTTTGCTTTTCCACAATTGGAAGTGAACTGCCGTACAAGAAAAAAATATAAGAGTAGCTCGAATTTTTTTATCATTAATTTAATGGAACAATCTCTCTTCTTTTGATAAACTTAATAATAATATTTATTAACATGACACAAAGCGAAAAGTTTCTTTATCGACAAGGCGATAGAATACTTTGTTTTCACGGGCCTATGATATATGAGGCCAAGGTATGTTTAAGTTAAAGCGCCGCTGGTTTTAAATTTTTCACATTATAGATGTAATCATGATAAATATTCCCATCGTAATTTACCACCAGATTTTAGACAAAGATTACCAACATCCGAAATCAGGAGATTCGGGTCCACATTATTTAATACACTATAAAGGATGGAAGAATACGTAAGCAGTGCACAGTTTTTACTCTTATCTGAAATCTGCAAATATTCATTAAAATTTAATGGTACTTAAAAGTTGGGATGAGTGGGTAGCTGAACATAGAGTATTACCAATCAACGAAGCCAATTTAAGTAGACAAAAGCAAATTGAAGAATCTATGACAAAGAAAAATAAATCATCATCAAAAAAAATTGTACAAGATTCTTCAGTGGATAAAAACAAAAAGCGAAAAAGAGAGTTTTCTTTAGATAAAGTAATGAATTCATTTTATTTTTCTTGATTATTCTTATTTATATTGACGACCTTTATTATAGTATTATTATCACGATTAATTAAGATACAAATTTATATTTAATGGAACTTTAATTAATAGGATGATCTCATTAAGAAGCCTAAGGTTATAATTTATATTCCTGAACAACTTAGGTTACTTTTAGTACAGGATTGGGAAAACATAAATAAGTCACAAATGGTACAGATTTTTTTTTTATATTTGAACTAAAAAATTATATTATACTTTTACTAAATTACCAACATTTTACATAAGTGGGTGCCATTGCCACGTAAACCATCAGTAAATGATATAATAAGCAATTATAAATCTTGGAAAAATGAAAAAAATAAGGATAATGATGGTATTGCTGAAGAAGTTAGCAAGGGTGTAGGTTTTTATTTTAACAAATGTTTGGGAACTCGGCTTTTGTATCAATCTGAAAGAAATCAATATAAGGAAGTTCGTTCTAAATTTGAAAATCTGGAAAATGCTCAAATTTATGGAGCCGAACATTTATTAAGATTATTTGGTAAATTATTACTAGTATGAATATAATTTATTATGTTTAAAGCTTATAGAGCCAATTTTTCTTTAGTTATTTTCCCAAAATTAATGTCGAGTACGAATATTGGCGAGGAGACATTGAATGTTTTGAAAGAACATTTGTCTGATTTATTAAAGTATCTTTATTTCTTTTTTTTCTCTATCTTTGTAATCCTTAAATATTAATAACTTTTTCTTTTTATTACAGCCATGTTAATGAATGTCAGAAAGATTATTTTGTTGACGAATATCAAAAGACTCAATGATAATCTTTCTCAATATTAGATAAATGAGTTGATTGATAAAATTTGGTTCTAAAAAATGTATTAATCTTTTATGTGTATGTGTACAATTACATTTGTATAACTTTTTTTTAGAATTTAGAATTCGGTTTTATTTATGTATCACTTGGTTATATTGGATTATCAAATTAATATATCCAAGTAAAGATTAATCTTCTATATGAACAAAGACCTCTCTCACAATAATTATTTCATGCAAAGTATATGATAATAATAGCACAAGAATACGTGAATTTTACTTGACTCCCTGGTATAAATTCAACAGGGAAATTTAACTCGATAAATCCAGCTTTATATAAACTCTTTCATACAAGAATTTACTGTCCTATCAAAAGATTAATAAACTTCATTCGCTCCTATGTGTACGCTAAAAATTAATCGGATTGTCATTTTTTGCTAAATTAACAATATGACAAAGAGGTGATACCAAGTGAGAACATTTGTACCATTTTCACATTTACTTTGAATGCTAAAGAAGTCGAATTAGAAGAAAAATATTATTAATCGTGAATCAGTAGAAAAAGGAAGAGATCTCAATTTAAGAAGACATGTTAGAAATTCTCCTCATGGCTGAATACGTTGTCTAAAAGAAATTATCGTACAATATCGACACAATAACATGTGTTCTTTTTTTAAAATAAAAGTGTTATTTTCATATGGTTTATAGAAAATTATCTTTCAAAATTTTGAACACAAAACGGAATATAAAGGATGATATCTAAGGTAAACCCTGGAAGTTTTATAAGATTTCCGAGTTTTGCCTTGGCGACGCTCAAATACTAAAATCCGTTAAAATTCCAAGAAAACCATTAAAATTCTTTGATATTCGGAGTTCTTTAATATTTTCGGGAGGTTTTTTTTTGGTTCTTTGATGTTTCAGAGTAACAATCTAAATATCATGAAATTTATGCTGCTATACTTAAAAATGGCAAAGTTCCATCAATTTACTATCGGACAACTTTGATACAAGATTTCACAAGCTTCTCTTATGCTTTCTAAAGTCACTATTAAGTATTTCTTTTATACTTGATATTATATTAATTATCTTAGAGCGTCTCTACTTTGATAAGAAGAAATACATTATCTTTATATTTATTATAAGCTTTATAATAAATTTTTTTGACTTCCATGTGAAGTTATTTAATCAATCATATACATTTTAGCACTGTTTAAAGACTGCATCATTGCCTATCACAATTATAAATCAGTTTTATTTTTTTTTTAGTTAGCAATGACAGTCGATTCACAAGGATCATCCAGACAACTCTTCAATTACCCTCTCATCCATCTAATAATATTACATATTCTATATCTCAAACTGTGTCAACAGCCCCACCATTTTATATTCTTTCAAAACTTTCAGATCAAAACGTTTACCACGCTTATTCTGAATGGTATCATGTCATGATGGAAATCCCTCAATAATTTCATTAATCGAATCATATGGTCGTGAATGAGAACATCAAAATCTAGAAAGACTTGAACAAAGAAAATTATTGATCAATGAAATTAAAATTTGAACAAAGAAAATTATTGATCAATGAAATTAAAACTTGAACAAAGAAAATTATTGATCAATATCGTGAAAAACAAATGGATGATAATATTCAAGAGGGTTTGAAACAATTAGGAAGAGATGGAATGTCCATAAAAAAGTTCATTGATAAAAATTTTATTCTTTTTTTCACTAACATTATTAATTATATTTGATGCGATATATGAAAAATTTGAAATTTAGTATACATCTCTTTCTAAACTCCATGAGTTTTACTCACTGAATTAAATAACAATTAGCCAATAAATAATCTGCTAGTACTACGTGCTATGTAATAGTTATGAGAATTTGCTAGGAAAGTATAACATATGTATTGGCTATTTAAATAGCCAATATATCAGTTATACTTTCGTAGTAAATTTTTAATCTCTTGGAATATAGCCGATTTATTCCCTGCTATTCGCATAATCTTTTATTTATTTATTTTAAAATAGTTTTTTTTTATATATTTATTTAAAGATTAATACAATATTAATTTTTCATCACTTAAATACTAAAATATGGGAACACCCACAGCAAAAGAAAGGATGGGGCTATATAATATATAGTTCCATTCCCCTTTTGCTGTGGGTTCCCCATATATGATGAAAAGATTAATATAGTACTTATTCTTCATTATTTAAATACTATTAAAAATAAACGCATGTTTTATATTCTTTAAATGCAAAATATTTTTTTAAATCATATATAGTGTAGATAGTCTATACTTAACAGTTATATTATAGTTATAATTTTTTTTATTTAAGAGATTTTTAAAAACTCTGACTAGCAACTTTATAGAACTATATAAAATCTCAAACAAAAATTAAAATTTTACAATAAATAGTTTAAAATTACTAGGTAAAAATAGAAACTTGTATTATTATTTATATAAATTAAAATTTTTATTATTCTGTTTTTAATATAGTGTTAATACAAATAAATAAATAAATAATAAAGTCATATTGTCAGTTTTTTATCTTGCTAGGTTAGTAGAATAGAAATCCAAAATAGAATATTCTATGTATATTAATTTCATTCTAATCTTTTTTTTTTGTATTGATCAATAATACCTAAATGCTAATTAGCAAGATAATATATAATGCGTAATTGAAAGCATATACTCGACTCAAATAAATGATAATAAAACTTATTTATCAGCACTCATAATATGTAATTTGAACTAGACTACACTTGATTTTATTTTAAAAAAAATCTATTTATATATGAGCGTTGTTAAAAAAAACCTGAATCGGAAAATTGTAGTTAATTATTCGATGAACTTAGCTCTTGAAAAAATTATAAGTGATTATACTTGCTGGCAAAACCTCAAACTCCCAAAAAACGAATTGCTGTTATAAAAAATTAAAACAACAAAATAATTTTGATATTTTGTAAATATATTATATATAGCTATAAGAAAGATTATTAATGAAGTTTTTGAGATATTTAATTTGGTCTTGAGTTTGAGATTCTGGCGCGGACAAACCCAAACTATAATAGTTTGGGATTTGGGCGACAAGTATATTAGCAATTCATCAGTAATGTGTCGTTTTTTGGTATCATGTGCCTTGATTATATGGGCTAGGTGCTGGAAAAAGGAACCAAATTGATATTTTTTCCAAAATGGATTTTTTAAGCTTAACTAATTTAACATTAGTTCAGAAACATTTTTCACTTAAAAAAGAAGTACTGTTGCGTTAATAAAATTTTACAGTATGATCTTTTAAAATCTGTATTTTTCTATGAGTTAATATGATTTTTATAATATAAAAAATCAAATATTCACAAAATCAATTTTTTGTCAATTTGGTCTCTTTTTTCAGCACCTAGCCCATATAATTAAACATCATATTGACTTTTTTTTTTATACTAGAAAACGGTTATCATTGATAAATCTTTCAGGGGTTAAGTTCACCGGGTTTACTAATTTTCCTCTCCAGTTCCTAGTGAATGCTTGGAATATTGTTGATTGGATGAATTGATTGCAAATTCTAATCTAATATCATGACCAAAAAAAAAACAAAAAAAAAAATATTAAGATACAAACCATATTGTTGGTTATGGTATTAAGGCAAAATAAATATTGATACTACTAAAATTTTGCAGGAATTTTTTTATTAAGACACGAAAAGTGGTTTTATATGTAAAATTATAAGTTACCAGCACTTTTGAAAAACTTTTGATTTTTTTCATCATTTTTATGTTACACCGGGCGAAAAGTTGCGTAATCTATTTTTTGTCCAATCAGTGATAATATTTTCGTACATCCAATCAGAAGTAAGGCTTCCCAAGTTCACCAAATAATAAATTAGAGTATTTGCGAAATTTAGTTGCGTTTAAACCAGGAACGTAGTATGATCGCTAGACTTGTATTAAGGATCCAAGTGTAGTGACGAACTTTCTAAAAATTGTAAAAATATTACCAATTGTCTTATGTAATCTATTTCACCTAAATTAAATTTGTGGTATACGCGTGAGCAATAAACCAAAAATAAAATTTAATCCAATAATATACGAGATTTTAAGTTTACTATATAGGGTGAGTCAATAGAAATCAAGCAAGTTATTTTTATTAAATTTTTTTTTAAAATTTTAAATACTAATAGCTTAACAAAAACTTGATCAAAAATTTTTAAATAAATTCTATAAGTTTGTAGAATTCATTTAAAAAGAAATTAATTAAATTTGATTAAGTTGTTGTTAAGTTATTGTTATTTAAAGGTTTAAAAAAATTATTTAGAAAAAATTTGCTTGATTTCTATTGACTCAACCCATATGTATAAAAACACATTACTTATAAGAAATCTTTGAATAGTGATGGGCAGGCATCTTGGATAGAGATAAATGATTTGTGAATTTCTTATATAAAATATCCAGATATGTAATAGTAGAATCTTTTGCGGCATGAGTGACTTCTTTAATAAAATATTACTTGGTTATAAAGTTTGGTCACCTATGGGACATACGTAGGCTATGTAGCAAATTACTACGCAAGCTACTAGCCTAGTTTTAAATATTGACCAGCGCTAGAAAAATAATGAAGCTGTTCTGAAATAACCTAACTAGAAAATAAATGAACAAATGAATGGACTAGTCTTGAGCAAGATTAAGGCCAAAATTTAAAATATTTCAAGGTCTTGTTAGCATCAAAATTGAGCAGAATACATTATATTATTTTTGCTAATTTGTATAAATGTAGGAATGATAAATACCTAAATCGTTTAAATGAATATACAGTAAATGAAGCGTAAAGAGAAAGCTACTATAGAATCAATAAGTTCTGAAATATATTAAGAATTCATAAATATCGAATGCAACAGTAGACAATAAACTTTGGAATGAGTATAATTACAGTATATTCGAAATTAATGAGTTGATAGATTTACGTGTTCTTACAATAAGAGAAATGGCTTAAAAACTGTTGAATCAAATTTTATACTGTATATTCTGAAAACTGGATGACAATCTAAAAACTTAGAGAAGTGAACCATTTTCTAAGAATGTGAAATGAATGAAATAAAAACATTTTCTACTAACGAAAAATTAAAAATAGCTTTGATTAGTAAAAATTTATGTTGCAACTTTTATACATGTGATATAATTCCATTATGTACTACATTTTATACATCGATATGTCTAACTATCATCAGTTTTCTGTTAACCATACACTTCGTAATTTACATTATTACGTTCCTGGTACTACAATTTTCAGATCTAGGTTTCCCTTGGCGGCATTCATATAATCATTATACTTAATCCTCCTAGCATAACTGCCAAAATCATCAATGAAACACAATCAGATCATGATAATTATTAGCTAAATCTAAAAAAAAATGGCGTAAAATATGGAAAGCCTCTGTAGTAGAAAGAGATAACCAAGTTAAATTGATCTGTCTTCGAAAGGTGCGACTAATAAATTTAGCAAGTTTTGGTAATATCAAATTGAATACGTATATAAATTGTATTAAATGCATTTTTAAGCAATAATATTTCACAAAATTGCGGTTATTACTAATCAAAGCAATTTTTATTTCATTCATCCATGTTCTTGGAAGATGTCTCACTTTAAGTTTTTATATTATGCAAAGAGTGACATTTCTGAAAATAAAAATAAACTGCGCCATAAATCCTGTGAGTAAATAATTAAGACGCGAGGCTTTGAATCTTCAGTTATGACACATGAGACTTGTTAGCCGAATTGATAATATCAGCCAAATAAACAGGTGCAAAGTTAAAATATTCTCAATGAAAGATAAGCGTGGCAGCGTGTTAAAATTCTAAGCAAAGACTCAAGCGAATGTATTAAGAAAGGATGGTCAAAACCTCTTTTAATCATACTTCAAAAAATTATTTCCCCTAGCTCATATTATCGTTATATGTTAAATCCATCACGATTTTCAGCCTAATATAAATTTTGATTCAATAGTTTTTAAGTTATTTCTTTTGTTAGAATATTGTAGACTTTTAACAAGATCAAACGCCTATATATAAATCTATCAACTTAACAGTTTCAAATGTGATTATATTCATTCCAAAGTCCATTGTCCACCGTTGCATTTAGTGCTTAGAATGAGTCGACCTGAATGACCTGAAACAGGCATGTTATAATATATTTTATTATATAGGTCATGACACACTCCTAGGCATAGGTGACCTATACTGTACTAGAGAAGCTACCCCAGTGAGACCATGAAAGATCGTCGTATATGCACCAATCAGATCTTTTCGAATAATAAAAACAACTTTAATATGCGTAATATTATAAAGTACTAAAACCTCACTTTAGGGTTGATATAGGGATTACAATATGCATGCCCTATACCAAAATTTCACGAGGAATTTTTTTAATTAGAGCGCAGAAAGTGGTTTTATAGTCAATATTTTTTAGTTACTGTCTGTTGGCGACGATCATTCAAAAAAATCGATTGGTGCTTACTAGAGATGACAGAAAAATGATTTTTATTATTTAAATCAGGTAATGTTTATGATTTTTTTTCTGTCATCCCTAGATCATACCATTCCTTATAGGTAATGCGTATTTCATATAGTATGTTTAAGTCAATTGACAAGATGAACAATACCAATATATTGCATAAGATAATTGATAATTGGGTAATATTTTAAAAATATTAGAAAGTTCGCGAGTCTAGTGATTATACTACGTTCCTTGTTTGACTATGTCGCGTAACTACCTAAATTTTATTTTAGTTTTAGACTATGTAAAATGGTTTCAATTTTGCGAAGCGATAGATCACCTTTCATGCCAGCAAAAATACTGAATCCGCTCGCATTTGGGTTGTGTCAAAAAAATTTTTAAAAAAATTGAAATTTGGATCACCAGGTCACTGAAGGTTAGCTGGTGATATAGTATAAGTCTGTGCGGGCTAAAATTTTTTTATTTAAAAAATGTTTTTTAAAAAAAGATTAAAAATCCAGGTCGACGGGTCAGTTGGTGATATGAAAACCGAAAATATAAGTTTGTATGGCCTATATATATAATTTTTTTGTTTCCAACGATATATAAAAAATAAGTATATATTAAATAGGTAGAAAAAAAAAGTAATATTAAATTATATGACTATATATGCAGAAAAAAAAACAGGTTGAACATAAAATTAACTACACTTAATATCAATCGCAACCTAAATACTTTCCAGTGTAATAGGAAAACAACGTTAAATAAACATAATGCTTGTTTGTTGTCTATATCATTATTAATATCATTACTAATAACACTAGTTGTATAGCCTTGTCATTTTAATTTATATTCAAATAAGTGACTATTTCGTCCCGATTTAGGTCCAGGTGCATAACTCAATCGATTCTGTTTATGTTCAAGTGATGAAACAGAAGACATATAAGTCGCAAATTCAGACGATGTGATTGGGTTAGATACGTGATGGTCTTTTCGGTTTTTTTTTGTTTCTTGGGGTATTTTTGTTGATGCTATTATCGTTAGTGGTGTTGTTATAGTTGATGTGGTTGTTGTTGTTGGTGGTGTATGGGTGGTGGTGGTGCTATTGTTGTTGGTGGTAATATTGGTTGTTTTATTACTGTTGGTGATTTTGTTGTTGTTTTTGGTTGTAGTGGTTTTATTGTTGTTGGTGATGTTGGAGGGGATATTGTTATTGGTAGCATTTGTGATGGTTTTATTGTTGTTGTTGGTGATGTTGGAGGGGATATTGTTATTGGTAGCATTTGTGATGGTTTTATTGTTGTTGTCGGCGGTAGCATTTGTGGTGGTTTTGTTGTTGTTATCTTTGGTAGCATTTGTGGTGGTTTTATTGTTGTTGTCATTGGTAGTATTTGTGGTGGTTTTATTGTTGTTGTCTTTGGTAGCATTTGCGGTGGTTTTGTTGTTGTCGTTTTTGGTAGCATTTGTGGTGGTTTTGTTGTTGTCGGCGGTAGCATTTGTGGTGGTTTTATTGTTGTTGTCGGTGGTAGCATTTGTGGTGGTTTTATCGTTGTTGTCGGTGGTAGCATTTGTGGTGGTTTTATCGTTGTTGTCGGTAGCATTTGTGGTGGTTTTATCGTTGTTGTCTTTGGTAGCATTGGTGGTGGTTTTATTGTTGTTGTCTTTGGTAGCATTGGTGGTGGTTTTATTGTTGTTGTCGGCGGTAGCATTTGTGGTGGTTTTATTGTTGCTGTCGGTAGCATTTGTGGTGATTTTATCGTTGTTGTCTTCGGTGGTAGTATTGGTAGCGGTGGTGACGTTTCTTCTGATGGGCATTCTTGTTTTTCTTTGTTCTACTAATATCATTAAAGGTTAATTAGTCTCGAAATTTGTAAAAAATGAACACAATTATAAACTTTACCTTATTCACAAAAATATTTTGTTCAATCAGTTTTTGAGTTTCTAGCTCAGGACTTTCTAGGGACGTTTTGTTTTTTTTGAAGTTATCTTTCATTCGCAATTCAATATACAGTAGTAAAATTAGTTAAAAAGGTTACCTTCTGATGGTTGAGATATTTGGTCTGTGATAGTAACTTTTGGATCAGTAACCACAGCTTTCAAGTGTTTAAGTTGAAAGTTTTCTCTTTCGTAGATGTCAGAATCTTTAGTAACAAGTGTAGAATCTGCTGAATCCGATACCAACATTTCATTATCTTCTGATCCATCTGTTGACGATGGTGCTGGGGAATCTATTGAACAATCTCTTATCGGATTTGTTGTAATCCTAATATTTACTATTTCGAAACGCAATTCATCAGGCACAGTGACCCTTATGTCAGTATACCTTGGTGCCAATAATTCGATTTTTAAGCCTTCTGGTGCAACTGATACATCAAACCCATTAGGATACATTGTCTTTGAAGTTTTGATGTCAGTTACTCCATTGCCAATAATTTCCATGGCTAAATCATATTGAAAAGTTTTGATATCAATTTCTTCACTTATAATAGAATCAGTAGTATTCTTTACATATGGTGGATGACCCATTGTTTTCAATATTTCTATAATATTTGCGACGCATAATGGTGGTTGCAATAAAATGTTTTTGATGATCGACGGGGGGATTGATTCAAGTTTGATATCAATGTCAACAATGTAGGTAATTTCCAAGTATGTTGACAAATCTTCTTCGTCAACCCTAGGACGTAGCTGCCATCCGGAGATATCTAAATTCGCCCGGACATGTCTCCTATTTTCAGGAATCAATGGATCGACGATCGAAGTGCTGGCATGCCAAATTGTACCAGTTTCTGGATCACGTTCAATAATACTAACCGTTGACAAGTCTCGTCGACTTTATTAAATCATTTGTTCAATATCAACATTTAAGATATATAACAAATACTTACACAAATATTAAAGAAACGATATATCACCTGATCGGGAAGTTACTCTTCATCGCGAGTTTTGTTAAAAATTCATTTGGTCCCAAACGTTCAATGTTTATACCTTCATCAAATCGAACATCCCCTGTTTAAAAAAGAACATTATAAATTATACAAAATTGAATTTATATTTAAAAAAAAAAGCAAAAAAAAAACAATTCAACTTGCAAATTTTTCTCATCTCAAGTTCAGAAATGATCGACAAAATATCATCGGCTGTATATTTGCCAGCAAGTTTAACATCACCACGCGTCATTGGCAAAGAGTTAGAAATTCCTTCTCTTACGTAAATCTTTACACCTCGCTCTTCCGTATGAAATTCCCAACCATTTAAATCACTTGCTAATGTTTTTAGTTTAAATAGTGCATTTATTGCAGAATTATGATGACGATCCTGTCTTAATGATTGTTTTATATCCGAAGAAGTAATTGACATGCTTTTTGGTGAAATTGCTTGAGGCGAACTTGGAGGTACAGGTATGGATCTTTGTGCTAGCTTAGGTGACTTCACTTGAGACGAGATATCGGATGGAATTAATGGTAGTAAATTATCGTCGATATAAGTATGGTTTTCAGATAGCTGAATAGATTCTTCATATATAGTATCACTGTCAAAAGTGGTAAAATTGATATCTTCAGGAATTGGTTCACTTTCCTTAAAAGATATTTTACGCTTTGGGGTTTTTCTCTCTACAATTTCATTATCATGTATACCATTAGAAGTTTTTGGAGAAATTTTTGGAGAAAGTTTCGGAGAAGTTTGCGATGTATTATTTATTGGCATTATTGGCGGATCATTCTTTATCAAATAATCTTCAACAGCACAAAGAACAAGAGGCCTTCTAGACATATATGTTGAGACAATAAAGTTTGGAAACCAACTATTAACATTTACTTGAAGAACGTAAGTAACTCTCGTTCTGGGCGGAGAAATAGAAAGAGATTCGAGAATCCAGCCATTTAGTATAATTTCTGCACGGATTCTTCCAGCAATGTTTGGAACCTTTGGATTGTCAACTGAAGTTGCGGCAAAGTAAATTTCACCTGTTGAGGCACATTCTATCTTTTCCACTAATGACAAGTCTCTTGATCTATATATCAATTTAATCACGTGAGTAAATTTGGCAGTGAAAAAAATTGTAACAAAAACTTTGAAATAGAAATTACTTTGTTCCGGCTAACGCATGCATGACCATGTAAGTTGTGCTTGTTGTATCGTTCAAATTGTCGACAAGATGGCCTCCTTCATACCTAACAAAAAAATGTTAATACATTTCAAAGAATTGACCAAAAATGGACAAAAGATATACATGTATATATGTATATATGAATAATACCAATCATCCCAAGGTTTTCTCATTCCAATGACAGCAAATATTGTTTGTGGTGTAAAACCGACTATTTCGTGTTCACCCATATACACTGTAGTTTTTTCGTCTAACATACTTCCCCGCTTATTATAAACCATAGTACCCCTTTTATTCGTTAAAACTTTCTTCCATCCTGGTCCATTCACAACATATTTCAAAGCTCTTACGGCATCTTCAGCTTGCTGGATATGATATTCAGAAGTTTGTCTATAGAATTTGTCACTTCTTGGAGGTGTATATGATTCTGGACTTTCTTCGTAAACAGAAGTGTAACCGCTAGCGGCATAACTTTCTCCATATAGTGAATCTTCGTCCATATTTTTTTTTTTTTACGTATATGATAGAAATACTTGTTTATTATATATTTTTTTAAAGCGACTTAATTAATTTATAAAAGACAATTGATTGAATTTTTTGGTTGTCCTTATTTGGGAAAATTATATATAATTAAATTGAAAGAATAATGATTTCTAAACGACAAGGCATCAAAAACGAGAGCAATTTTAACAAGGTAACAATATCAGCCAACATGTAACATATTTCATTATTTCGTTGCAAATCTAAAGATTCGAAATTAGTGAATTAAAAATTCAGGTATTATATACTGATTTTATCGGGTAATATGTTCTTTCGAAATTGTTAACTTTTTAGTAAAGAACTGCTAATGATCATCTGAGGTACCCGAGATCAAACATGATTTATGAATTTCTAAAATTGTTGTTATAAACGCGCGAATCTCTTCAAAGACAATCACATGTTTACATGAGGAAATTATTGATGAATGAATGTATATCAAAAATTATTTTACCCTTGAAAATCCGTGTAACTTTTCTGCACCCCACCCCCACAATATAGAGATTGTATTTATTTTAAAAAATAGGCTAATCGCTGGTACCTCGGAATTTTGCATAACAAGCATATACGTAATAAGCCGCGTTCTGGCCTAACCCAAAACTTAGCTCTATCAATCATATTACTTATTTCCCGTGATTCATATCACATGTAAATCCTGGCTAAAGTATCTTATACTAGAATCACCGAAATTTCGGGTCAGAAGGCACCGGAGCTAGGCCGCCATTTGGGAATACGGGTTAATATAGTCTGTAGCAAAATTATTAACTGGGCATTTTTTTAGTGATCTTGATCAACTCCGGCCCAGCCGGTCGCCTTCCGACCCGGAATTTTGTGGAGCAACCAAAATTCAGCCGATCGAACAAAATTTAAGGTCATAATAGGCCCGGAGCTAGGTCGGCGTTAGGCACTAATAACAATTAACCATACTAGAGTAAAATTATTATCTGGGTAGCTTTATTTAGTACGTGGATTACCATTTTATTAGGCTGATTTTGGGAGAAATTTATCAATACCGCCTATTTCAACCCCGGATTTTGATTTTGGTCGATCAGCTGAATTTCAAAAATATTGAAGATCAACATTTGAAAAAAATGGTCATTAGGTTAGGCGCGTGAAGACCGATTATACAATTATATTCAAGTCTATTGTAAAAAAAAATTACAGTTTCCATAAACGCACGCACCTGCATACACACACTAGTAGTAGGCTCTAACACAAGTTTATAGAACTTTTAATGGAAAGCACTCCATAAATGTACACTTTCTTTATTCCCAAGGAATGCACATGGTGGGCTGACTGTTTATATACAAGCACATGAACATTATAAAGATATAAGCATGACATAATCAATTGAGTTGCTTTTAATATACTTTTTGAAGTGATAGACAAAATCAATTTTGTTACGTATTTTTTTTTTAAAAAAAATTTATTAAATTGAACAAATTAAAAGCAATTCAATTATCATTATTTTTTATTTTGAAGACTAACGTTCCTTTGCTGTTTCTTTGTTAATAGTCTACATATGTTTGTTACTACCTTTAGAAAATCAACATTGATTTATTGATTTTCTTTTTAAACAATTAACTAGGTAGACTGAATTGATAAAATCGACTAAGGCAAAATTGAATTCACTATATCAAAAAAAAACCAGGTCAGTTTTATAGTTAAAGTAAATTTGTGGGAATTTGGATCTGTTATGAATATTCTTCTGTAATTTATGTAAAAATAGTCTGTGCCTTATTCTAAAGCATTAAATTGATCGACAGACCTTCAACATTTCGTCGCGCTAGGATTATCAATCCGTCCATCGCAAATCCAAAAAATTTTAACTGTTTAATAGATCCGGAAGTAATACCATACAAAAATTAGATATACGTTATTCAGTAGTTTATATAATTGAAAAAAAATCTTTACTATAACTTATATCGAGAACACTATCACCATGTTGATTCAAAATTTAATGAATCTGTAATTCAAAATTCATACATTCACTATTCTTGTATTACGGAGATGATAACATAAATAATGTCTTGTTAAATCATTATCCTTATATTATTAGAATAATCTTATCGATGCTCGCCACTAAGACAATTTAAGCCGAGCTATTTCAAGTCAACTCCAAGCTTTCTAGTCTATAGTCTGTATTCGAAATGTCTTTTAATTTATACAAACACATTTTTTTGGGTCAGTCTTAGCATCCTCAGAAATCAATTATGCACTTTAAATTTTAATAAGGCCACTCCAAATTAATTCGTTTAACATAATGTAAAATACAAATTAAAAAAATACAATAATTCTATTGGCCGTAAAAATATTAAAATTATAAAAACTAATATTGCAATTTGATTGGTTAAGGTTTGCGTTTTTTTATCTAAATATTAAAATATTGAGGAGAGAAGATTATGTCAAATGTAGAATTAAATTGGTTTGGCCTAATTAATAATGATAGATTGTATGCTTGAATAACTTTCGAGAATTTTGAAAAAAATGACTTTTTTTTACTATTGTTTTATTTTTATAAATCTTCAAGTTCTTTATTAATTTTTAATTAAAATTTTTATTAGCAGTTTAAAAATTCTATTCAAATTTAAATAGCAACCATAGTGTAATATAGTAAAATTTTTTAATGCCTTTTAAGAAAAACAAGTGCTTGACATGTAGTCATCATCAAGTGTATAATAAATAAATTTTTAGCTTTAGAAGAATTTAATAAACAAAAAACTAAACATATTTACAACAGCAAATTATCAAGTATGTTAAAACAAAGTTAAAAAAATACAACTACATTTTCTAAGCTATAAAAAACAAAAGAGTTTTTAAAAGAAAGTACAGAAAGTAAACTATTACAACAACATAAAAAAAGTTAAAAAAAACTAAAAAAAAATTTTATTATATATAGTTTTTTTAAAAAACATTGTTACAAAGCAGTTTATTAGTATAGTATATTATTATTATAATTATTATTTTTGCTTTTGCTAAGGCCATGATTATCAGTGGTTACTGCTTTTATTGTATTTTTAATTATAGTTACATAACTTGTACAAGATGAGTATCAACTAGTCACTTATACAACTTTTAGTTGTCTAATTTAAGTAGTCCACCTATATAGTAGGTTTTATACTAGTTGTCATATCTGTAATCTACTAGGAAATTACTTATTTTAAACATTTTAATCTTTATACTATACTGACAGATAACATACAAGTTTCTATACATCTATATTAGATGCTATCTAACCTAACCTTGGCCTTGCTTTTTGTATGTCTATCAAGCTGTTACACATTTCAGAATATATCATCTGGCTGCAAAACTCAAGGATGCCTCTTGCTAACTAACTACTCACATTTAATTCTTATTAACAGGGTACACCTTTGCAGAATTTATCCAGACCTCAGCATAGACTTTATAGCATATTCCTAGTACTTATAATATATCTTTGTTTTTGGCCTTAGACTTCTAATCCAGATAATGCAGAAGAACTATAACCTGTTCTTGGTATTCTAGGATCTGCTTTCCAAGATTCTTTTCTTCTAGTTTAAGACTTCTAATAACTTGATTGATAATACTCCTTACCTGAGGTTCTTGCTTATCTGATTCCTTTCATATTGGTATCTATTTTCTAGGTCTAGCCTTTACAGTATTGTTAAAGATCTGTGTTATTTTTCTACTCAAGTCTTTACAAATAGATTCTAGTTTCCTAGTTTACAGGTTTATATAGCTATGAGCACTTATCTTGAGTTTGTACTATCTAATATTCCTTTGTATAACTCCAATATTGCACAGATGCCCATGACCTGTTAGTCATGTTGATACAACTGTGTTACAGATATCTTATCCCAACTGATCAACAGAATGCTATTACTGTAATACCATTTATATATTATATAGGTGATTATTCAAATTTTTGCTATTGGTAGATTTTGAACTCACTATCTACTACTTGGGGAGTTAACAACTTATTCACTTCACTAAGTTACTACATTTTCAGTATAGTATATTATTAATATTAGTTATAGATATTTATTATTGTATTATTGAATTATTGTATTTTATTAGTTATTAATTTTGGTTAATAGTTATATTATTCCTTAAACTGTATACTATTTTCAAACAAATTTGTCTAAAAAATTAATAAAAATATACTTATAATCTATATTTTTTAATTTTTAAAATATTTAAATAAAATTTTGTTTAATATTATTTAAAAATAAGAATTATAATATAGTAATATTTAATTTTATATTATAAAAAAAATTTAAGTTACTTATAGCTACAAATAGACAAATTTAAAAAATTTTTAATTAAAAAAATATTCATTAATTCTTAGTAAACTCTTGAAATATTAATTTAACTTATAGTTTTTAATACAATATTATAACTTATATAAAAATGTTAATTTTTATTAATATAACTTTTTTAATTTACTTGTAAAAATTTAGACTTGTATTAAAAATAAATTTTTTTTTAATTTTAAAAACATATAAAATCTTAAAAGTTTAAAAAAATTTTTTATAATAAAAATTTTTAAACAAAATTATTATTATTTTTTTTTAATATTAAAAATGAGTATTTGCAATCCAGGCTTTTATTGATAGTATATTTTAGCTTTGTAATTGTATTATAATAGTTGCAAAAAGCAATTATAAAAAAATATACAACTAGTTATTCATATAACTATAGTTATTGTCTAATTTAAGTAGTTCACTCAAAGGTTTTATACTAGTTGCTATATCTAAAACCTGCTTGTAAGTTCTTTATTTAAACACTCTGGTTCTTATATTCACTTATCTACTTACTCTACTAATTGCTTTAGTTTTTATCAGTATATATATGTTATGATTACTAAATCTTTAAAGCAATTCACTTATATAAAGAACCTTTGACCTTGTACTAAACCTACTAAAGCCTTCTGTTATTTAATTTCTAGCTAATTTAGTATTACTATAGCTGAGATTAATATTTA